ATTTTAAATTTGACGCGTAATTTAGTTTATTATTAAGATTTATAGGTTTTTTTTTATCTTGAAAACTAAAATATGTTTCATATTCATGCTTTTAAAAAAGTGAAAATTTAAGTTTTATTTTAACCTTAAAAATAATACTTTAGGCCCATTCCAAGAGATCTAAATATTTTTCAAAGATGTCAAAATTATTTTGATCTCACCACAATATATAAGAAATATATGAGACCTTAAAATATGCGTGACTTTAGCGACAACTTTATACCGACTTCAAATTTTGAAATCTAAATAAAAGCTTTTCATGCTTCATACTAATCTATTATAACCATATTTTTCCTATTTATAACGCGGATAGAACCAGATGAAAAGACAAGGTCAGCTTGGAATGGAATTCTAAAGAAGGCCAAGACCCTCACAGGGCTATAATGCCATTGCGGAATGAAGGATATATTAAAATAGCAGAGTAAAAGTGTATTAAATTCTGAGCTTAATTGGAGAAAAAACAAAGTGTCAAAAGACAGTGATATTGAAATTTCTTTAAAGAATTATATAGATAAAAAATCAGAAAATATTCCTCTGTTTTCTAAAACAATTCACTATTTCTCGAATTATTAAAATAGTCATAAATTATTATGAAAAATGTACCGAACAAATCAATTTTTGAAAAAATCTGAATAAGATTGTTAATAATAAGAGCCCTTCTTGCATTCTTTAAAAAAAAATTATTTTTCATTTTCTATTTCTGCTCGAGTTCTTTCTGTTTGAGTAGAGAACTTTGTAATAAAATCTGATTCCCATCCAAGTTTAAAATGAAATCTAAGTATAATTTTTTTATTGTAAGTTTCATTTTAGTCAATTCATTGAACAATTGTTTTCATTATAAATATCCTAGCAATTTTTTGTCATATATAATTATGCCTTTTATTATACTTACTATTTCAAAGTTTCTCAATGTTATATTTTTTTTCTTAATTAATACTATTTAAATTAATCAGTTTCAATTATTCTATAAGAAAACCTTGATAAAATGTTTTCACAAGGAATAAACACAATCACACAATGTTATAGAATTAACAAACACACGATATTTACACAATTCCACACAATAAGTAGCTACTTGTTTTACTAAATTTATTTTTGGAATGTCTTTCATACTGTAACTTTTTTGCAAGTTTTGCGATCGCTGATGGCTGAATTAGAAAAAGACTTAGCCTTACAGTCACTAAAGTGAGTCTATGTGGTTGTGGAGGTTTAAAAACCGCTCCCATCAACAGCAAGTTTTCACAAAATTAATTAACTTAAGATTGAAACGAGTTAGAGCCTTTAACAATTTAAAACTCCTTTATGCACCTTCTAACCTTGTAAAGTATTGTAATTTGTAAATCCTAATTTCATTATATATAAATACAATCAGTCTACAATTTCTATAAATAAAGTTTTAAATAATATTGAATAATATTATAAACAAATTTATGCAATACCAGCCTAAAAATCATTCAGATAAACTTTCAGAAAGATATCAATTGGTAGATACAAGGGTTACACAAAAAATTAGAAATGCTTCTATACTAAAAAAAAAAAAAAATACTGAGAGAAGTAGTTTATAAAAAGTTAGAATTATTTAAGTTATACTCGATTATGTAAAGTTATATACAATGTCTCATACATATCAATGAAGTTTAAAGTTTTTAAAGGTTTGTGGTTTTGAGAAAATCATTTTATAAATTTAGAAGTGCTTAAGTTATACTCGATTATGTACTAGAGTTATATACGATGTCCCATACATATCAATGAAGTTTAAAACTTTCAGAGAGTTGAAAGACTATCTATAAATTACAACGGAAAGTAGTATTTTTGAACACCCTATGCCAAAAATCTAGCAATAGGTCTGTAACTTATGACAATTATTTTGGTTATTATATCCAACATCTGCACAAAATTTCGTAAACGTAGCTTAAATATTTCTAGAGATATAGACATTTTTATAAGAAACTTATTTTCTTTTATCTTACGTTTTTTTGCTGCTGTAACTCTAAAAATATTTAATTAAATCAACATTTTTTTTAAAGCAATTTAAAATTAATTACTAGGACGTTAGCTTGCCGGCAAAGGGTTAAGTGACAATCTGCGACAAAGGGTTAAGTGGTATAGCAAGTTTTATGTTTGGACCCTATTGAAAACCAATTGTGAGAAAACATATATTTATAATAAACAAATATCCGATTCAAAAAGCGCTATAAGAATTAAGTAGTATAAGAATTCTTTAATCTGTAAAGCATTTACAAAGTATCGCATATTAATACTTTACCCGAAGTTTGATGTAGCAGGACAGTTTCAGTTAGATAGTTTTGGGCAAAGATAGTTGCTGAATTAAAAATAATGTTTGAAGCACGTATCACCTCATAGAAGACAAAATGAACTCTTCCAATACTCATAGAAACACAAATGTTTTCAAAGAATTATACTCGATGAGACCAGAAAAAAGAACTGATAAATGATGATAAGCAAAACAAAATAACAGATAACAGGCAGTTCCGTTGATTTCGAGAAGATATTTTAATCACCATATTCCAGTTATGAAAAAGAAAGCAACTTCTAATAAATCAAAACGACAATAATCAAGATCAATTTTCAAAGAGTTTATTTTAAAAATTAATCCCATATTTTCTGAAAAAATTGTTTGAAGATTATTACATTCTAACTTAAAAAAATTATTAAATTTGAGTGAGATTGTAATAATGTTCAAAGTTGCCGCACGAGGTATATCATTTTTTTTCAATTAAACAATTGTTATAGCATTCTAAAGAATTCAATTATATTGAATTCAAGATCTATTTTGAAAGATTTTGTTTTAAAACTTAATCTCACGTTTTTTAGAAAAATTGCTTGAACATTGTTACATTCTAACTCAAAAAGTATTAAATTTGAATTAAAATGTAATATCTTTCAAACTTGCTTAGGAGGTATTCCATTTTTTTTCAATTAAACAATTGTTATGGAACTCAATTGTATAGAATTAAAGATCAATTTTCAAAGAGTTTGTTTTAAAACTTAATCTCACATTTTTCGAAAAAATTGTTTGAACATTGTTACATTCCAACTCAAAAAGTATTAAATTTGAGTTAAAATGTAACATCTTTCAAACTTGCTTAGGAGGTATTCCATTTTTTTAATTAAACAATTGTTATGGAATTCAATTGTATAGAATTCAAGATCAATTTTCAAGGAGTTTGTTTTACAACTTAATCTCACATTTTTCGAAAGAATTGTTTGAACATTGTTACATTCCAACTCAAAAAGTATTAAATTTGAGTTAAAATATAACATCTTTCAAACTTGCTTAGGAGGTATTCCATTTTTTTTTTAATTAAACAATTGTTATGGAATTCAGTTGTACAGAATTCAAGATCAATTTTCAAAGAGTTTGTTTTAAAACTTAATCTCACATTTTTCGAAAAAATTGTTTGAACATTCTTACATATCTTAATGAAGTAATATTATTTTTAATGAAATAATAATTTCTCATTAAAGGTAATTCCATGTTCAAGAATTGACTACAAATATTTTTAATTGATTGAAATTATTATAATTACATTAATGCATCATAATAAAAGGATGTGTGCTTTTAAATCTCTTTCTGTATCTTTTTATCTCCAGATCCATCCATTTGTGCTAATGTACTGAAAATCAGGTCAAAAAAGTAATATTTTGAGCACACAATCGATATTATGCAGTGTCTTTGGTTTGACATCGGGCAAGTTGGGCAATATAATTTTCGATTCCTGGTATTAATAAATAACATGATATTTAACAATACATGCGTGATACAGCCAGAAGCGTGTAACACCTATTGAAAATGCATTCAAAAAGAATATGGCATTTAAGAGCTTGCTATTTAGCAATTACAAAAGCATTTCCTTTTAAATATTCAATAGAAGTAATACATGATGGAATTAAAAATATAATGTAGTAAATAATGCTATATTTAAATAAATTTGCAGTTGAAGGTATTTTAGCTGTCGTGCAATGCTTTGCAACATATTTAGCAACCGAAGCAATGGTATTTTAAAAAGTATTTTACCTCTGTTAAGAAATGTATTCAAAAATAATAAGGCATTTAACAACGTCATATTTAACGCATTTTTTCAATAATATCCAAGAGTATAATAATTAATGGAATTTAAAAATAATTGAGCGATTAATGTTATTTATATTGTATTCAGTGTTATTTAGCTGTAGTATACAATGCCTTGCACCACATTTAGCAACAGTAACATGGTGCTGCAAAAGTCTTGTAATACCCGCTTAAAAATATGTTAAAAAATAACATTGCACTTGACAACTTGATTTTTAGCTATCACAAAAGCATTTTCTTCAACTTATACAAACAAACAAACTTATAGTAAAAAAAAAATCAATGGTACCGAGAAAAAATTAATAGTTACGTGAATCAATAGTAACAGCAATGGTAAAATTAAATAAAATCAATGTCAGCATGATACTTAATTACAATAAGAAATAATGTAATAAATTAATGTTATTTATAATAAATTTGCAATTAATGGTGTATATATATATATATATATATATATATTCCAACCTAAGTGAAGAAGATGAAACGAACGTCTTTTTACGTGCATATCTTATGTCAGGTCTACCATATCAAGCTTAATAAAATATTTCGTATTAAATACAGTAATTTATTAAATGATCTACAAGTTGGTTCTGATATATTAGTGGCTTTTTGGTGCAGAGAAGTGCCTTAAACTAAGATTTTATGGGGTTAACAAGTTTCATGTGAAGAATAGTATTAAAAAATATATAGCGAAGAAGTGCAGAAATTAATTGAATGTTCAACATTAAATCCTTAGGTTACTAAGAGCATAAAGATTTTCATATTCCTTAGAGAAGCAGGGTGGTACAAAATTTCCTAACCTATGACTTTAAGATTAACTTATTCAATGTCCATTCTATTAAATGGTGAAAAATAAAATTCATGTCACACTCCACTAATTCTCGTTGCAGAGGAATCGTCTGATTGTTTAACACTATAAGTCTGATTTTCATTGCTAGCATAAGAAGTTAAAAGCTCGACAATCTCGTCACTCGAAGCTAGATCCTTAGGAGTAAGGCCAAGGCTGTCCTTAATTTCGATGCGAGCTCGTCGTGAAATTAAAATTTTGACAACATCTATTTTTCCGGCTTTAGCACTTAAATGTAGAGGTGTACGCCCTAAAGAATTTTTAATTTCTATATTAGCACCATTATTTAAGAAGATATCAACATATTTCTGGTATCCAAATTCAGCAGCTTTATGCAGTGGAGTGTCATTCTGATTATTTCCAGCTTCAAGATCAGCACCTTCTCTCAATAGGCGCTCAACAATCACATCTCTTACATTCATAACAGCGTAGTGCAAAGGCGTATCGCCTTCGCAGTCTTTAGCATTTATATTAGCGCCTTTTTCAATTAAAAGCTCAATTACTCTGATACTACTAGCGCAAAATATAGGTGTTGTATCATAATTACTTTTAACTTCAATATCGGCCCCTTCTCTTATCAGAAGCTCGGCAATCTCATCTTTTCCATGCTTCACAGCGTAGTGCAAAGGTGTTCCTCCTTCGCTACTTTTAGCATTTATATTAACGCCTTTAGCAATTAAGAGCTCGAATGCCTTCTTACTACTAGCCAAAAACAGAGGTGTTATATCTAGATAAGCTTTAGCTTCAACATCTGCCCCTTCTCTTATCAGAAGCTCGACAATCTTATCTTTTCCATGCTTAACAGCGTAGTGCAAAGGTGTTCTTCCTTCGCTACTTTTAGCATTTATATTAACGCCTTTTGCAATTAAGAGCTCGAATGATTTCTTACTACTAGCCAAAAACAGAGGTGTTATATTAAGATATGCTTTAGCTTCAACATCTGCCCCTTCTTTTATCAGAAGCTGGACTATCTCATCTCTTCCATTCATAACAGCGTAGTGCAAAGGCGTACACCCTTCGCCATTTTTAGCATTTATATCAACGCCTTTTTCAATTAAAAGTTCGATTACTCTGATACTACTAGCGTAAAATATAGGTGTTGTGTCAAGATTACTTTTAGCTTCAATATCGGCGCCTTCTCTTATCAGAAGCTTGACAATCTCATCTTTTCCATTCTTAACAGCGAAGTGCAAAGGCGTACACCCTTCGCTACTTTTAGCGTTTATATTAACGCCTTTTTCAATTAAGAGCTCGATTACTCTGATACTACTAACGTAAAATATAGGTGTTGTATCAAAATTACTTTTAGCTTCAATATCGGCGCCTTCTCTTATCAGAAGCTCGACAATCTTATCTTCTCCATTATCAACAGCGTAGTGCAAAGGTGTTGTTCCCTCTCTACTTTTAGCATTTACATTAGCACCTTTAGCAATTAAAAGCTCGATTACTCTGATACTATTAGCGTAAAATATAGGTGCAAGAAGAGTAGTGTAAGAGATGCAAGGAGCGTTTTGCAAAATTGGATTTCCATTGCTATTTTTAGCATTTTTATTAGCGCCTTTTGCAATTAAAAGTATGCGTATCGCATAAAACAGAGGTGTTTCATCCTGATTACTTTTAGCTTCAACATCTGCACCTTCTTTAATTAACAGCTCGACAATCTCATTTTCTCCAGTCATAACAGCATAGTGTAAAGGTGTTCTTCCTTCGCTACTTCTAGCATTAATATCAGCTCCGTTAGCAATTAAAAGCTCGAAAACCTTCTTACTAGTAGAAAAAAACAAAGGTGTTTCATCACGATTAGTTTTAGCTTCTATATCTGCGCCTTCTTTTATTAAAAGTTCCACAATCCTATCCTTACTTTTGCTAGCAGCGCTGTGCAAAGGTGTAAAGCCTTCGATAGTTTTAACATTTACATTAGCACCCTTTGCAATTAAGAGCTCGAATGCTTTCTGGCTTCTTACATGAAACAGAGGTGTCTCCTTATTAGGTTTATTTTCAGCTTCTACATCTGCCCCATTTCCTATTAAAATCTCGACAACCTCATCATTTCCTCTCGAAACAGCCTTGTGCAAAGGTGTTTCTCCCACGATATCTTTGGCTTTAATATCGGCGCCTTTTGAAATTAAAAATGCAGCGATTTCCTTATTTGAAACAAAATGCAGCGGAATGTTCTTTTTTGCATCAACAGCATTTATTAAATTTATTTTGCTTTCTATTAGAATATTTATAATCTTCATTAAACTTTCTTCTGCTGCCTTGTGCAATAAAGTCCTTTTTGGTTTCTCAGCATCGTATGTTTCAAGGCTTTTTATTGCTTCATACATGTCACCAGCATTCGCACCATTCCTTAGAAGTAATTCAGCAATTTTCCAATGACCATATTTGTCTGCATATCTTAAAGGACTCCAACCAAAAAGTTGGTCTTCAGCCTCGACACTTAATCCCTGATACACCAATCTCACAGCCATATAAATGTTTCCGTATGCAGCGGCTAAGTGGAGGGCTGTTCTTCCTACTTTATCTTTAGCATTTAAAAAATCTTCCTTTTTTCTTATTTTTATTAATAGTTGCTTTACTATATCTTTGGAATTGGTTAAAACAGCATTATGAATCTCACATAACTCATCATCACCAGTTGTCATGTGATCGAAGAAGATGCTTGTTAACTTATTATTTGGTCCATACACATGATCACGAAAATGTTCTTTTACTTTTTCCCTTCTTATATTGTTGAAGAAAAAAAGTGAAGCAAAATATTCAGAAAAACTGTAGTGGATGAAAGTTGGCTTCTCATCGACAATATGACTAATGAAACCCCAGTTTTCCTCTCCGTCTTGCAGCTCTTTCTTGTAATTCTTTATTTCTGTCAACTCTTCTTCATCAAGAAACTTAGTTAAATCTTTTTTCATGAAAAGTGCACTTAAAGCTAGAAGCGAATATTTTTTTATAAAGGAAGCGTAGAGTGTTTTATATTGTGATCCCGGTTTTGTTAGGTCTAGTATCTGTCTTTCTGAAAGATCCCTCCTGTACCTGCTTACAACAAACGCTTTATAGAGGCTCATGAGATGCAATTTTTTCGAAAAAGTTGCTTTTGTTTCGTTGGACAGTTGGTAAGAGGTTTGGAATTCTTCATGAAAAGCTTCAACCAGCATTTTTGTATGTAATGGTATTCCTGTAAATTCTTTATTTGCATCAGAAACGGGTTGTAGAACATTGTCAAGCAATGTGTTGGCGTAATGATCAAACTTTTCTCCGCTATGTCCTAACATTTTACTCAAATGCTTTCGAATAAGCATCACCTGATCATCTCTAGATAGCGGCTTTAGACTGTAGGATAGCACATTTAATATATTTTCCAGTTCATTTTTCATGTGTGGCCGTGTAGTTATCCAGAAATGGTTCTCTGCATTTGATTTCTGTAAAGCTTTTAATAGTTCAATAATATTCTCCTTGTAATCAGGAACTATTTCATCAAATCCATCAAGAAAAAAGGCAACTTTACCTGCAACATTCAATCGATGCTTAAATAATTCTCTCTCCAGAGGTGTGTTTAGACCAGCTATGTCCATAATAAATGTAAAAATTTGGTCCCTATCATTAATAAAATCTGCATTTGCTAGTTTTCCTGTATAGTCATTTAAATTAATTCTCACAACCCACAAGGAAGTATCAAACTTTTTCATATTTTGAGCTAATTTAGTCAGTATCGTAGATTTACCTGCACCAGATACTGCACTTATAATTACTATGCGTCCATTTATGTCTCGAAATTCAGATACATTGTCTATATCAATATAATTACGCAATCTTGATAGAGCACCGCGAGATTTTTGCCATACAAATTGGTAATCTACTTCCTTCAGCCAGTGAATATTTCGGTTTTCATATACATTACACAGTTCATTAAAATCCGCACCTGCCTCAGAAATCAGCACTATATCTTGTCCCCAATTAAGATTAGATTTTTGAATTTGATTGTCATAGGTTATATGAATTTCATAATCATTTTCAAGATCTTTCTTAATTTTTGACTGATTAAAAATTCGATCTATGTAGTAAGTCTCAATATCCCCCAGATCTGGAAGGGCTTTGCCTACCTCTAACATTTCATTGCTGATAAGTTTGGATAATGTTTCCTCATTTACTATATGATTTAATTCATTTGTTATCAATGAACTTAAACTTGTCTCTTCACCTTGAAAGAGAATTTTTTTCTCTAAAAGTGTTTTCTGAGAATAATTTGCTAAATCACCAAATTTAAACTTTGAGTTATCCTCCATTTCAAAATAAAGTTCAGAATTATTTCCTAAGCAATCATCTAAAACTTTCTTACTTTGAGTAACTAAAATAAACTTAAGCTTTGGTTTATCTCCTAAAACACAGAATAATTTTTTAAAATACGCAATTAACAATTTTTTATCTTCTTCCCAGAGTTCTCTATTACTATCAACAACAAATAACACAGAAAATTCATTATCTAATTGTTTTACGTATTCATTTATTGTAAAAAACTGATCTAAAATTAAAAGTTTTCTCAGACTTAGAAAAAAGGTTTTACTTGCTTGATCGAATCTTTTTTTCTCTTTGAGAAATTTATGTAGTTTTTTTATTTCAATTACAGGGTGCGCTTTACATATTAGTTGCAAAAACTGCAAGCTCGAATGATTTAAAAAATCAATATACTCTATCGTTGCCTCCTTCAGTTCAATATACTCAATGGATTTAAGATAATTAAGAGACTGTTTTTTATAAATCTCATTAAGAACTTCTAAATTCTTTAATTTAGTTATCTCACTGCGAATATCTGGAAAAATAAACAATATGTTTTTGACACAAATAATTAATTCTTGCAATTGTTTTTCCGAATTGCGGCTTATTATACCTCGCCCTACTCCCTCTTTTACTGCAAGATTTTCCAGTATTTCTTCAATTTTGTCTTTACTTATCACTCTTCTTGATTTTTGATCTAGCATAAGAAATAAGTCATCTGCGACAGAAAGCATCGAGAATTGCTTTAATTTGTGACAACTATCCAGAAATTCAAACTCCGATTGTGTAAAAATATTAGCACTACATTCTCCTTTTTCCACACTTTGCACTTGGTAACGAAGCGTACAATATTCGCTATCATCAGGAGGTGGATTATAATAGTTAGTACAATTAGCCAATTTATGAAAATGTTCATATTCATTGGTGTTTGTTGAAAATATATTAAATATTTTTTCAGCTATTATTCCACCTAATCCTTCTTTTACTAATGGCCAGTCTATGACCTTCATTATCTTTTTTGCCGAACTGCATATCAATGCCTTTTTAATGCTGTTCATATTGTGAGTTTCCATTGTGTATTGAAAAAAATCCCAACTAGATGATCTGTGTGGTATATTTTCAATAAAAACCCGGTATAAATTATCAACGTTAAGATGTGAGTGAAGAGTATTCACCAAATTTGGTGCTGATAGGTAAATTGTGACATCCAAGAAAAAAGATGAATGGGCTTTACCGCTGTAGCGTACATCAAAGTCACTTTCCATTTTCAACAACATGTCTTTGCAACCTGGACTGTCAAAGACTACTGTATGCGTGTGAGAACCTTCTTTTCTGCTTTTTACAAAAAAACAATTTTCGTCTTTAGTTAGATATTTAGTAGAAAAAGAAGTTATTTGCGCCAACCACCCTCCCAAAGAATGTCCAGTAATTGACAGAGTCAAATGCACTGATTGTTTTTTATTGAGTTTTTCCAGTTCAGCCGCAATCTCATTGGCAAAAGAAATCGCAGAACTCATTTGAGAAGTGTATTCATTCGATAAAATACCTTCATAATCAGTCCAAAGATCATTCACGCTCTTTGGATTTGTTCCTTTGTGTGCAATTACAACTTGCATCTGATCGGGATTCCAGTATGCAGCGCCAAAATAACCATCACCGGAATTTTTTGCTGTTGTTAATAAGATCCATTTTTCTTTATCCCCGAATATTGTTTTTTCTTTTTTATCCAGTTTAGTCTCATTCCATATTTGCTCCAGTGGATGTAAACATCTTTTTTCATCCTCATATACTCGAGAAGAAAATTCTGCCAAGAGATAATCACTAGGATAAATGCAGCTGTCAAGACGAATTACTCTTGCATGACTGTTATTTAGAGTTGATTGGATCACCGATATGAAGTGTTTATTATTTAATTCTAACTTAATAGCTTTTAACTTTTTGCAGCAAGGAAGGGCCATCTTTAACTTGGAGCATGAATAATCTCTTACAGTGTTGTCATTCTTACCTAGAAAAAGAAATTTAAAATTATTTTTAAATAAAACTACTACTACTAAACTAGAAAAGGGAAAATTTTTAAGAAAAATTAAAAATTTAATATTAAGTTTTGCTGCTTCATAAAAACTGTAAATAAATTGAACCTAGAAAATTAGAAAAATGCAAAGAAAAAAGAAAGAAAATAAAAATAAAAAAGGAGAAGAAAGAATATAAGCATATGAAAAATTACAAAGTATTATCTAAGACAAACATAAAAAGCATATAAATGTTTTCTTAAAAAATTTAAAAAACGTTTCTACTTAAAATTAAAACAAACGTCAAGGAAAATATAGTATCGTTTTACCAGACACTAAATTATTATTTCTTTTCAAATCCATTAATAAAACAGACTCAAACAGCTCCAAAACTACACTAAACTTAAAAAAATAATAAAACAAAAACAGAATCTATAGTGGACGTAGAAGAAAAATTAGTGGAAGATAGAGCTACATTAAGATATGATCGACTAATACGAGACTAAGAGTGAAAGAATAAGGAAAAGTTTGAGAAAAAATTAAGAATTGAAGATTACTAAGTTTTATTACTACGCGAAGATGTAAGCACATTGAACTTGAAGAATGAAATAGAAGAAATATAAATAAAATTAGAAAAAATAAAATAAGAAGCTTTGGCTATATAATACAATATTAGGAAACACTATTTTTAGGGATATAATGGTGTGGGATATAATATATATATATATATATATATATATATAGAAGTAGAGATTTTGATTCGCTAAAAGGATATCGCCACTCAGACGGTGGGGAGTTTTTGGGAGTATTTTAATGTCTACTTCATTGACGAATTATTAGCTTCAGAAAATAAGCCCATTAGCTTTCAGAAAATAATCTTTTATCTGGTCTTATCTGGTTCATCTTGACTTTTTATGTCTCTTTGTGAGAGACCGATTTCTACATCTAATATATATAAAATTAAGAAAATGCTCATTGGACAATTCCTAAACGGTCATGAAAAAAGGGTCTTCTTACCAGAAGGAAGCAGAAATTAGTAAAGCAGTGAAAGTTGTGATTACCTCAGACACATTTTTCATCTGTAATTCATGCTGTCCACTGAACTATTGATGAGTCCTAGGAGGATATTATCCCACTCCTCTCTCAAGGCAGATTTCAACTCTTGCACGGTTTGCAGAGGGTGTATTCTTTGTGAAACTAGTCTGCTAAGGGAATATTCTAAAGGATTCAGATCTGGAGATTACGCAGCTATTGCATACGGTTAATATCTTCTCTTTATATTGCGGCTGATACCTCAGTGTTCCTGAGTGTCCGCTTATTGTCGTCCATAAACAGAAAGTCTTGATCTGCCAGAAACATAAAAGACAGACATGATCCAGAATAACCTCTTTAAAATAAGTTGCTCAAAGATGTGAAGCAGTGTCCAGCCATTGTGCATAATGACTGCACGCACCGACACTGACATATCGATCACGTTTTTGAACCTATTACTGTGTACGACGTGTTTGTTTTCTCTTTCCACGCTAACTGGTTGCCAGAATCACTTGCTGAATCGTTTCTTACACCAAAGTTATCTTTTTGGACGATGGCGTGGTTGAAGCGGGATGCATCGAATTGGTTTCTGTGTATGCAAACCTACCTGATTTTATTTCCGTGAGATGGTTCTGCCATAACATGTGTGCCGGTAGTGGTTTCAATGTCTGCAACTTTATGCTTATGCCTAGGAGAGATATTTCAGTTCCATTTTGCTATCAGCTGTACATTTCAATCCTCTTAAAGTTTGGCGTTCCTTAAAACAACCACAAGCATGCTATTGCATAGTATTTCCACCTTCAGTGGTCATTTTGAATCTCGAGATGACACTTCTGGAAACTCCCGATGCTGCGGCCACGTTGATCATATTTCGACCTGCTTCCAGTAGTCTAACTACTCGTTCCGGATCATAAAACTTATATGATATGCACTGTTATATATATAACATAGTTGGGCCAAAAATAGATTTAGAAGCAGGATGTAGCTTTCAAAAGTGTGAGAAAGTATTTCGATTTGAATAATTAATTAGTAATAAAGTAGGAGTTGCTTTATAGCAAAGAAACTAACATAAAAAGATTAATAAAAGCTTTTTATGTTACATCCCCCCTAGCCAAAAATGTTTTTCATAAAGTGTTAGAGGAAGAAGAAAAAATTGAACTAGAGCTACTATCAAAATGAAGTGTTAGATCTCCATTTTCAATAATTTTTTGTGATTAAGTTTTTTCAGTCTTTCTTGATAATCACAGTAAATAAAGTTATTCCTCATACTAACACAATTAAAATAAACTTTTCACTTAAGACAAGAAAATCTATAAAAATTTTCTAAAAGATGTATCTATTCATATTCAACAACATGAAAGATAAAAAAAAAATATGAAAATGCAAGTGATATGAGATATAAAAATACAAATTGACACTTTTTATCAAAAAAAATTTCAATATAAAATGTAAAAAAAATTTGACACAATGGTCTTTAATCTGAAGTTTAAGACTTCAGTGTTATTAGGGGAAATTGTTTTGCTGGATTGGGGGCTGTATTCCCCAAAAGGAGGAAAACAGTCCCTAGTCCCAACAATGATGTGCTGGAAGATCCTAGTTTCAACAAGATGCATAAGTATTTATTTTTTTGGTTTTCACCACAGAGAAAAACTACCATCGCCCCATATCCTACTAGATTTGGGTAAATGTTGAACTTGAAGAAAATTTGAAAGGTCGGATCCTCCAGAAAAAAAGGGACCACATGTTCCATTGAACTATGCGTATTGTCGTCATATTCGGTGTCTTTTAATTTTATTTCAACAATGAAAAATCATTAAATTCAATATAAAATATAATTAATTCTATTATTTAAACTATTACATGTTTTTTATTCGTGACATAATTTAAGTTTGTCAGGTGGGTGGTACCTTCGCAATTTTGATATATGAACTGCTTCTGAATTTTCTTTATTATGAATATTCTTTTTATTTATTTTGTAATTAACANATCTTTTTATGTTAGTTTCTTCGTTATAAAACAACTCCTAATTTATTACTACTTAATTCTTCAAATCGAAGCACTTTATCATACTTTTAAAAAACCACATCCTGTTTCTAAATCTATTTTTATTTTTGCTGTGCAAACACAAAATATTTTTAAAATCAAAAAATATTTCGAAATTATTATCAAAACAAAAGCACAGATAGAAGTAAATTTTCATTATATAAATATCATTGAAGAAATTACTATCGTGGATGATCACTAAACACTGGGAATCACTGCGTGAATAGCATTCACTATCACACAACACATGCAGATTCGAATAATATTCACTTTTTTTTTTTTTCACAAGACCGTCAGTTAAGAAAAATTATTTATGGAGAATCATTGTTATAGATACTTCGGCATTTTAATAGTCTCTTTCATAGCACCAACAGTTGAGGATTTTGTTAACGGGTGTTGAAAACCATTCAAGGTTTTGTTTTTGAACATATGAGCAGACAGACTATCTGACCTCTGACGACGCATTGCGTTGCACAAACCTATCTTAAAATCATTTTCTTTTTATTATTATTTTATATGATGACATTTCCAACAAGTTGATGTACGCAAATGGGATTCCGTCAAAAGAGAAAGTGCTTCTAGCATTCAAGTGGGAGAGAATCAAACCAGGCAGCGTTGTGATCCAATTCTGTAATGGTTATAACGGAAACGAAGACGTCCGGCACTGTTAAAATACAGTTGAGACCACTCCAATGGACACTTGAAAGAGAAGTCCCAAAAATCTTCTTTTAATTATTTTTGGCATCAAATTCCGTTAGTCATGTTTCAAAAGAATAATATGTGCTTCACGAGCAATGTCAGTTCAGCAGCAATTTTATGATTCAGCCAATTGTATTCTTATTTTCACTTTTGAATTATATTTTGAAGAAGCATTTTAGCAATTATTATCCTGCGTCCGTTTCAACAGTTCTTATAATCCTGCT